CAAATCTTGAGTTTTCTGCACTATATTGATCCACTTGCCTCAAGGCATTAAACATCCTGCATTAATGTTTTTGGGGCTTAAAAGCTCTTAACATACTTTAACAGCAAGCAAATCCCAACTAGGCAGGAAGGTACCACTAAATGATTCTGGTGACTTTGAATGCATACCCCTCCTTTTCTAATCCCTCTCCTCTTCATTCTCTTCTTTCTCTTTTTCCCCCTTCTGAGAGGTTTTCACTGATGTGGGATTTCTCTTTGTATGCTGTGAATATGTTTTATTAGCATTAGTTAAGAAAAAGTTTATTTAGCCAATAGCCAGGAAGAATAGAGCCAGGTGGGAAATCCAAGCAGAGATTCAGGGAGAAAGAAGGTGGGGTTTGACAAATGGGGAACCAGCAGGTGGAGAGGTGGAGAGATGCCTTGGTCCTGTCTCAACGAGATGATGGGACAGACTTAGTAGACTTCCTATGGGAGGCCTTACCCTCTCCAAGAAGCAGATGGGAGGTGAGGGGGGACGTTGGGGGTAGCAGGAGGGAGAGGAGAGAGGGGGGACTGGGATTGGAATGTAAAAATGTAAATTAATTTTTAAAAAGGTGAGGTCTAAGAGACACCATCCAGCCACCAAGGAAAAAAATGCCCAAGCATCACCAGTAAGGTACAGGCCTCGTGTCGATAAACAGATCAATAGAAATTGGTTAATTTAAGTTGTAAGAACCAGTTAATAATAAGCCTGTGCTAATAGGCTACACAGTTTGTAATTAATATTAAGCCTCATAGTGGTTATTTTAAAAGTGGCTGTGGCTGTGGACCCACCCAGATAAATACCCCGTTGGGGTTCACTTCTTGCCTAAGAAGCTGGATGAGGCAGTGGCTGAAGCCCACCTGGGCAAGCTGAATGTGAAGCTGACCAAGCTGACTGAGAAGCAGGCCCAGTATCTGGGCATGCCCATTGATGGCCCCTTCAAGCCTGATCACTACCGCTACTGAGAGACAGGACTGCCCTTCACCTTCCAGCTGCCATCCTTGTTCCAGGCCCTGCCTCTCTTCCCAAGAGCACATGTCACCAACTTTGCAGTTGCTTCGCCAGTGTTCGTCCTGCTGGGGCTGGTTACTCTGTCCTTGATCTCTCTTGTGTCCTTCATACTGTTCTAGGTGTGGTGAAGGGAACTGAGAGTCTCCAGTCAAGAGAGAGGTACCTGGGAGCCCTCCACAGGGGACATGAGCTCTGGAGTCTTTGAAGTCCTGAGGCTAGATGTGGCTAGTGGCGGTCACAGGCCCATGCACCTTACCATCCAGACCCTCACTTGGTCTTTGTTAGATCTGTGTGCTTTCCCAAGAAGAAACTACCATAGGGCAGGAGCCACTGGACTTGGAAGGGCCTTCCTCAGAGCTTATTTACCATTGGATCATCTCTTAAATCTCAGAATACTGAGGTTGGCACTTTTGGTTCTTATTTCACAGGGTTAGAATAGATTAAGAGATAACCAAGAAAGGACAAGTGACAGCTAGAGATTGAAAGGGACCAGAAAAAGCAAATAGGCTAAGGTCTGTCACTGCTTTGTAATCAATGGTTCCTATCACAAGCCTGGGTAACAAAAAGATTAATTTGGTTTACAGTGTCTAGAATGTTAAAAAAGGAAAGTGGATTAAATAAAATTTCTGGTGCCTAAAAAAAAAATAAATAAAAGTGGCTGTGGGACCAGGTCAGATGAGAAAAACTCCCTGAGTGATGGGAGACCCATCAGGCAAGAGTCCATCATCCCAGTAGTTTATGAGACACGGGCTAGAAGAATGCTGAAGAGCCCAGATTCTAATCTAGTCCCTCCTCCTACTGGACGTGCAACTCTGAGCAGGTTATTTGCTCTCTCTATTCCTCAGTTCCCTCATTTCTAAAAGCAGGATAATGCTTTCCTCCTAAGATATTTGTCAACATGAATGAAACTAATATATGTAAGGTATTTGATGGGTGTCCGGCACATAATTCTAAGGCACGCCCACTTTCCTCCTGCCTCACAGAGAGACTCTAGTCACCTATACCAATCAGAAATTAAAGGTGTGAACCAGACCACTTCAGGGGAAGGCAGTTTCACAGTGTCCTGGCGACAAGCAAAGGTCAAATAGGACAGTAATATAACATGAAATAAGGATTGTAAACATGGAGCCTGGAGACTAACTACTCTTCCAGAGGACCTAGGCTTAGTTCCTGGTACCCACATGACAACTGAATAGCCATCTGTTACTCCAGTTCCAAGAGGGATCTGTTATTTACACTTCTGGTCTCCATGGATATTATATGCATGTGGTACACAGACATACATAGGCAAGACAGCCATACACACAGAACAAAATAGAGATTTTCTTTTTTAATAATGAAAGCAAACCAGAAGGACACCAGTGAGGGGGGGAGGACTGGGGTGGATAATTGGGGTGGAGGACATGAATATATGCAAAGTATAATGACATATATGAATGAAGATTTCATCATGAAACCCATTCTTCATATGCTAACTAAATTTTTAATTAAAGCATTGTGAGAATAAGTGAATGAAATAATGGACATGAAGCACCTGGCATGCTGGGCTAGCTCATGAAGTGATGCTATTTTTATTGAGATGTTTATTTTTAGCAGCTGTGGTTGTAACTGTAGAAGCTACGTGTATGCTTTCCTTCTCCGTATCAGGCTGTGAAATGTGGGAAATTTGTGAGAAGCACTTGTCACTGGGACCCAAGAATCTATTACAGAAATCAGTTTTCAAACCAAAGCCAGCATCACGAAGACAGTCTCTCAATGTTTCTTCTACTGAAAGTTCGGAAGCTATCGTCCCCTCCCCAGTCAACCCCTGCCTCCTGGGGACATCTCACCCTAGAGTGAGCACACTCCTTTCTCCACACCGGGCCTGCCCCAACCGAATCCCAGTGCTTTTGGACGTCCCTCCTGGATGCTTCTTTCACAAATCCTGTTGATTTTGGGTCACCACAGCTTGCTGATCCATCATCTCTCCATCCCCACGGCCACGGCCTTGGTTAGTGCGCCATTGTATCTGGTCCCCCATAGTCCCATCACATGGCAATGCTTTAGAAACTTAGATCCCATGACTCCATCTAAAACTCTTCGAGGCTTAAAATCAAGACTCATCTTCCTGGATCTGAAACCTGACTCTATCGGCACCACCACTGGGGCTTTGGAGCCAGAGTCTGTAGATTCCCCTAGCCACACACACACCTCACAACACCCTTTCCTTGCCTTCGCTCTCCTTCAGGCATGGGACACTACTTTGAGCTCATCAAATGCAAGCGTTCCTTCCTCTCTGCAACCTTGGTCCTGCAGTTTCCCTCTTCCTATGGCAGATGCCCTTCTCACTGGCTAGATAACTCCCATTCTAGGTGTCAGTCCAGTACACTGCCTTACAAAAACCTCCTGAGCATCCTCTCCCTTGGTCTTTGTCAATCTGCTTTGTTTTGTTTCAAACAGTATAGAAGCCCAGGTTTGACCTGGGACTCACTATAGAGCCCCAAGGTAACCTCGAACTAATAGAAATCCTGACTCCATTGGCATTGTAGGCATGAACCACCACACCCCAGCTCCAGTCTTTTTTATCAGACTTTCTTAAAGCCCCACAGTGCTCACAAAATGTGCTACATGTGTAATTACTAACTCCTCCCCTGAAGTGACTAATTTTGACCCGACACCCACACTGTAAATTCCAAGAAGACACATAGTTTGTCTGTCCTGTTCTGACTATATTTCCAGGACCATGACTGTGCCTGGTGGGAAGCATGTATTTGACAAATAAATATGTCCTGCAAGGATTCAAAACAAAAAGCCAAATCCCACTTCTTATTTCCAGAGATTTGGAGACCAAACAGAAGGCTGGGGCTGTACTGAAGGTGTTTGCAAAATGAAGGGCGAGAGAGCCTCTTCACTGGCTTGTAAGCCAGTCGATTCATAAGACATTCACTCCACAAATAACTTGCTTTCCTGGTTCCAGTCTGGGAAGGGGAAGAAATGTAGTCATTAAGAAATTTAAATGGAGGAACTAAGCAGGAATTAAATATGATCAAGATTGTATTGCCTGAAACTGTCAAAGACTAAATAAAAACACTCTTTAAAAAAGAAATTTAAACACACACAAAAATTTAACCCCAAGACCCCACTCCAAGCACTGGCTGCCTACCTCTCAGTTCAGCTTGTACATAGGCTAAGAGGTGACCAGACACACTGTTTCAACTTCTCCTGTCCCCATGCTGATCATTAAGAGCCATAATAGCTGTACATTAACATCTCCTTTACCGGAAGGAAAAGTGACCTCACATTCCTAAAAGTATACCCCACCATTGTGTGAGTGGGCACACTGTAGGTCACCCCGTGACCCTTTCCCAGACTCAACGTTGTCGGGAAAACCACTCCCCCACATCTTTTCTACAACCTGAGCCAAACTAGCGGGCAGGATTGGTAATAAGACCAAGCAAAGACTCTGGAGGCCCTGTGGGTATCCATTATTCTACATGTCCTACAGAGAGAAGTGCTACTACCCCAGCGACAGCTGCTGCAGATCGCAGCCTTGGATGCTGCCAAGAAACCTGTCCCCCTGAGGACACCCAGGCCATGCAGTGCAGCTCCAGGTCCAGGGGAGGAGCCACCCCACCCGTCTGCCAGAGAGACAAAGATCACCAGAAACAAAGGACACACACACACACACAAAGTCAAACGCAAATACCAACACTTGGTGAAATTTCAAAACAAACAGCCAGCTTGGTATATCTTTAAATAGATTGTGAAACCATCCTAGAGGGACAACGATTATGTGATCTTGACAGGCGCGATCTGGGTTCCGAACCCACTCTGCCTCCGCCCTCCTCCCACCCACGCTGCAGTTGCCAGGCGCATTTCCCAGCCTCCGGACGGACGCGTGCTGCCGGGAGCAAGCTCATCCACTCCTGCCAGGGAGGGACCTGCTGGTGGAGGAGAGCCAGGGTAGCCCCGAAGTAGGCAATACGAACCTTTAGGATCCCAGTTCACCTGCTTTCTTGGCGTCTCGATTGGAAATTTCATTGCTCCGTTGCCCACAGGGGGGAGGGGTGAAATAGAAAGAATCAAAATAATAATAATAATAATAATAATAATAATAATAATAATAATAATGTCTTCAAGATTTACAGCTCTTCGGTTAAAGAGACCAACGGAACAATTTGTGAGGGTGGAGGAGCATTCAGTGGCTCCTAGGGAGCCCCAAAGAAAGACAAGCGGGAAAATACTAGCTGAGGGAAGCGCTGAGCACTTGGGTGTTTGCACCGGTTAAGGAGGTGGCCAGCTGCTGCCCTCGTGGATGAAAGAAAAAGTAAGATCGGATGCTGAGGGTGGTTCCGAGAGGATGAAAGAGCGGGGTTGCTTCTGCAGAAGCGCAGTAGGCAGACGCAAAGCTGAGCAGCCAGTTGCAAGGCTGACGCCGGAGAGAAGCCCACCGCAGAGTCCCTCGGGTCCCCCAAAGGCGTGTTCGTACCCCCTCTCTCGCACACACACGCACATACACACACAAAAACACACACACACACACATTCAGGCGCGCACACACCCGGCCGCGCGCTCGGGCGGGCACGTCAGCCTCGCTCGGCTGATCACAGAGTACTCGCCCCACCCCAGCCGCCGCTCCTCGCCCCCGGGAGACGCCCCCCACTCCCCACCCTCTGAAAGCCATTGGACGGAAGGGTGGCGCGGCGCCCGGGGAAGCTGCGGCCAAGGCGACCCTCCCCGTGGCGCGCTGCAGGTGCCGCGCCACTGCGGGAGAACGCCGGGCGCGCGTGGATCCGGACACCGGGTCTGGACGCTGGGCGGTGGCAGACCTGTCCTCCGCCGGGCTGCGCAGAGACAGCGAGCAGAGGCGCGGCTGCTACTTACTGGCGCGGCCACAGCGTGCTCGGTGGAGTTGCAGCCGGAGACACGCTTGGCTGCCTGGAAGCTCTGCAGAAGGCGGAGGAAAGGGCCTGCCACGGCCCCACCGCAGACCTCGGCCTGGGGTGGTGACCTCCTTTCACAGCTCCCACCCTGAGTGCCTGCTCGCTCTCTCTCTCTCTCTCTCTCTTGTCAGTTCATTTTTGATACACCACTCCCTGCTCCCCAGTGTGGTTCTTTCGTCTGAGTCCCGAACCCATGTCCCCACTGCGCTCCTGAGTGGAGGATGCCCGTAGCAGCCATGAGCCTTTTGTTCTGGGACTGCTTAGCATCTCTCTGCTGTGATCTCACAGCACCTAGTTCCCCGGGCACAGTTTGGTCCCTCCCCCAGCTACCTGTAGCCTGACTAGGGCTCATGCTTTGAGGCTAGGGGAGATAGGCTGGGGAGAGGCACTGGAGCCCTGGAGGAAAGTCCAGTTGCTAAGGCTTGGCGACTCTGAGAAGTTAGGGGGGTAACCCAGGGAGCCCTTGAGAGTCAGCACGAATGGTGGGTACCAGGAGACCTCAGCCATTTTCTGAATTAGGTCCCCGCCTACCGAGTTTATGGTAAAATCTAAGTCTCCAGAAAAGGCCAAAGGTGCTGGAGTACTCTTGAAAGAGCCACCCAAGAATCAACATGAATTCTGCTTACAAGTTCCCTGGGATGCCTAGCAACAGTCTTGCACTTAATAGATGGTCAAAAAAAAAGAAAATGTTTGCTAAAGAAAGGTAAGATTAGCACGCTATGGTGTTCAATAGGAAGTTCAACTCAGTACCCTTGTCTCTACGATTACTAAAGTCCGTTGTTCATTTAGAACCAAAACCCTTCTATGTACCATTGCTGTGCCAGGTTCTGGCTACCAGGCCAAGAGTAAGATTGGAATGGACCTTTTCTTCATAGAACTAGTATCAGAAGGTCAAGTTGATTGCTGTTGCCTTACCACGTGGAAGAGATAGTGACAACCGCCCTCTTTCCAAGTCTGCCAGCTGTGGTCCTTGAGGTGCCTTAGGGAAGGCCTGGGTTCCCCCCCCTACACACACACACACCCACACACACGCCACACACACACACACACACACACACACACACACACACAATACATCCAGGTCTTTAAGCCCAAGGGCAAGCTCTATAAAGATGGACTGTGACAAAGGTTGGGAAGTGCTTTGTCAATGACTTCTCAAGGCCCAAACTGGAGCCCTGAGTTCTCTGCAGACCATGCTCAAGGAAGGCTGGCACCATCCTGGAGTGATGTCCTGCCTCCTCTGCTCTTTGGATGCATTCCCCAGGAGTATCAGAGCTGCCTCCTCTGGGCTATTTCCATACTTTCCCCTCCTTGGACTGTGAGGATGAACAAGGCATGAAAATAAGGCAAATCGACTCTGGTATGGATAGGGTTCCCAAAAGCTGGGTCTCAGAAGCACTTTCAAGCTCACTCTGCCCTCCCCTCCTGCATGTCCATGGGAATCAGCAGAGACCAACAGAAGTACACTTTCTTTCCAAATCCCTCCTGAGTTAGGAGGACAAGTCAGTTGATTTATTGCAACTTCTCCTTGTCTCCATGGGCTTCCTCCACCTCTCTAAGGATGCCTTCCTTGCCTCTTTTTACAGAGGAGACTTCTGCTCAGGAGGATAAAGAAACACTCCCAAGGTCACAGAGAGGGGAGATCAAAACCCCAAATGAACCTGACCAGTAGATACACAGTTTCTTTACCGAAATCTTGGGGCCCCAGGACCACCAATCTGACCAGACAGGTTCTTTCCAGTAATGACGATCTAAATATTGGACTTTCCAGCCCTCTAGCCTCTTGCTCTTTGTAGAATGAACTGGACTATCCTTGCATTCAGGAATCAACATTAAAGAATCCTCTCTCTGCCCAAAGCACCGGTTTGTGGAACAAACAGCAATCTTCCGATGCCTTGCCGTTTAGTCAATCAACAAACACAGAGCATCTCCTGTGTACAAAGGAAGTTGTAGGTCTTTTTTAGAAGGACCTCTTGGTAATGAAGGACCTCTCCATCCCAAGAACAGCAGGGCAGTTAGGGGGGAGGCTGGGAGGCTTGGGGCAGACCCTGCTGGCCTGGGGAACAGAATGAATGTCTAGCTGCTGGTTGGGTTGAAGCCTTGCTCTGGTCACTGGCTTAGAGGAACATCTCTCTACTGAATCACTGGATTCCTTCCCTCTTGCCTTTCACTGACCTCTCATCTCTGGGGCATCCCGTCATTCCCACTCTCATTCACCCTTCAGGACAAGTTTATTGGGGGGGGGGTCGAACAAAAATAAAGAAATCCCAGTATCCTCCCTGCAATGCACGTGGTGGTGAAATTAAATGTAATTCTTGCAAAACTGAGGTGCAAGACCACCCCCTACCAGGAAAAAAAAACTACTTAGCATATTAACCCTTTGTGCTCCTCTCCCCCATCCCCTCTTCCATCACTGTCAATCCCTACCCTACCCGTTAGCCTTCAGTGGATATTTACAAACTGATTCCACTTACCCAAAGGAGGAAGAAAGAAGTGGCCTATGTAGGGGGAAAACATCCACAAAAAGCCGCGCAAGTGATTGGGTCTCGCTCTGCACCACAGCCACTTCCATGGCTATCGCTGCGGGCCAGTTAGATCTAGTGTAAAGAGCCCGCCTCGGATTTCTGCCGCAGGAAAACAAGGCATCTGATGAAAAATCACCCTGCTCTCGCTGTCCCCCAGCCAGGAGCCCTGGGCTGGCAGCAGCTGCATCCAGGGTGCACTGGGTCCTCCGCCCGGTCCTTGCAGCTTAGAGTAGAGAGTTGCCGCACTCTTTGACGCTAGCTGCGTGGCCCAGCGTGGGAGGACTGGGGAAACCCCGAAATCTCAGTCATCACTGATAATGAAGTTTGCCTGAGTTGGCAAGCCCTTACCCAGCAACCTGGGCTGACACAGTGTGACCTGAGGGGCAGCTAGCTGCGTGGGGCAAACTGCTCAGCCAGAGAATAGTTGAATTCTACTGGGCGGTGAGGCACTAAAATTTCCTGGGACGGCGAATCACATGGGACAATAAAGCATCTTGGGGGATTCTGCTTAGCTAATGGGAGAGGGGTGGTTCTTATCAAAATCTACTTTAAATTCATAAGGATGGGTTCATGCACCAGCTTAGAGTAGTTTCCCTTGGGTTTTCATCATTCTTCCCCCAAACACAGAAGACATCCCTGTGCTTCACCTCTCTATCCATGAGAGGCAGCTCCAAGTCCTCTTTTCAAAAGACTTGTACTCCTATTTGTACTTCGTTTCATGAAGATATTATCTGAACATGCGCACGTGCACGCGCTCGGTGTACACACACACACACACACACACACACACACACACACACACACGAGCACACGAAGAAGAATACAACCACTCTTTAGGGAAAAGAAGGGATTATTCACTGGCGATAACTTAAATTTCTCCCAGAACTATTTTCTTTTTCAAAGGCAGTGTCTCCAAATAGTTCTCAGCATTGAATCACTCTTATGTTTCAGGTCCCAACCACCACCATCTGGGAAAACCTACCCTTAAGTATATGTTGCTCTAATCTTGGGCTGTGCTTTGGCATGGAAAAGCCAGAGACACATCCGCAACAAAAGGGCAGTGGGTGTCAGATATCCCTGGTAATGTGGATCTTTGTGCGCACATCCTGCAGGGTTATTTGGATGACTCAAAGTTCTGATTGGGAATAAACGAGGTGGCATAGTGTGAGTTCCCACGATGTCGTAATTAACTCTACAGTCTGATGGAGACACAGTAGCCACCCTTGTAAGCGCTCGGTTTTAAATCTTAGCCGTAAGAGAATAATATTTAAGCTCCCATTGGGCATTATGCCAAACATCTTAACCGAAACGAGTAAGCCATAATCCTGCTTCTCATGTTACAGTGGCTACCTTTCTCAGGGTTAGTACCAAAACATAAACCTAAGGGGGATTTATGTTTTGTTCTGTTCTGTTTTGTTTGCTAAGAATTTGAGCTGGAATTAACGTTTTCCCTCAGTTTGTTTTTTTTTTTTTTTTTTTTTGAAATTTTCAGCTAAGGCTATAATCTCAAGTTACTTGGGAGGCTGAGGCAGAAGGATCTCAAGTTCAAAGCTTGTCTGAGCTACAGAGCTAGTTCAGTGCCAACCTG